CTTAAGGAATTCAGAGATTTATTAAGTGAAATAATATCTGTATCACAGGACCCCTGGAAGAAAAAGAGTGGGAAAAGGGGGCAGAAGATTTACTTGAACAAATTATACCTGAGAACTTCCTTAATCTGGGGAAGGAAACAGGCATTCAAGTCCAAGATGCACAGAACACTCTCCTCAAAATCAACAAAAACAGGTCAACACCACAACAAATCATAGTGAAACTTGCAAAATACAAAGATAAAGAGAAAATTCTGAAAGCAGCTAAGAATAAAAGGTCCTTACCCTACAAGGGAAGACACATAAGGTTAGCAACAGACCTGTCCACTGAAACTTGACAGGCCAGAAGAAAGTGGCAGGAAATATTTAACATGCTAAATGAGAAAAATATGCAGCCAGGAATATTTTGTCCATCATGGCTGTCATTCAGAATAGAAGGAGAGGTAAAGAGTTCACAAGACAAGCAAAAACTAAAGGAGTTCATGAACACTAAATCAGCTCTGAAAGAAATATTAAAGGAGACCCTTTGAATGGGAAAGAAAATCTAAAAGTAACAAAGAATAGAAAGGAACAGAGACAATATACAGGAACACTGACATTACAGGTAATACAATGGCATTAAATTCATATCTCTCAATAATTACTCAGTATGTAAATGGACTAAAGCTCTAATTAAAAAACATACTGTATCAGAATGGATTAAAAAACTCAACATGCTGCTTAAAAGAGACTCATTTTAGACCCAAAGACACTTCCAGATTAAAAGTAAGGGGTTAGAGAACCATTTATAATACCAATGGACATCAAAAGAAAGCTTCAATATCCATACTTATATATCAGAAAAACTAGATTTTAAACCAAAGACTGTAATAAGAGATGAAGAGGGGCACAATATCATATAAATGGGGTCTATCCAACAAGATCTAACAATTGTAAATATTTATGTCACCAATTTGGGAGTAGCCAAATAAATAAGTCAATTAATAACAAACTTAAAGAAACTCATTAATAATAAACATGCAATAATAATAGGCGACTTTAACACCTCACTCTCAGCAATGGAGAGATCATCTAAGCAGAACATCAACAACAAAAAACTGATACACTGGACCAGATGGACTTAACAGGTATCAGAGTTTTCAGCCTAAAGCAGCAGAATACACATTCTTTTTGAGTACACATGTAATATTCTGCAGAATAGATGACATAACATATTAGGTTACAAATCAGGCCTTAAACACTACAAAAAGATTGAGATCATACCATGCATATTTTCAGACCATATTCCTATGAAACTTAAAGTCACCTGTAAGAAAAAATTTGGAAAGACCACAAATATATGGAGATGAAAGAATATCCTACTAAAGAATCAATGTGTCAACCAGGAAATTAAAGAAAATTTTTTAAAAATGCATGGAAGCAAATGAAAATGAAAATACCACAGTTCAAAAACCTTTGGGACGCAGCAAATGCAGTCCTAAGAGGTAAGAATATAACAACACAAGCCTTCTTCAAGAAGCAGTAAAGGTCTCAAATATATAACCTAAAGCTCCTTACATTTAAAGGAGTTGGGAAAACAGCAGCAAATAAAGTCTAAATTCAGCAGAAGAGAAATAATAAAGATTAATGATACAAAAATCAAAAAAAACAAAAAACAAAAAACAGTACAACACATCAACAGAAACTAGGAGCTTGTTCTTTAAAAGAATTAACAAAATTAATAAACCCCAAAGAAGACTTAACAAAAAGAAAAGAGAAAGGACTCAAATAAATAAAATCATAAATGAAAAGGGGGGATCACAAAAACACCTCAAAATACAAACAATTAGAATATTAGGAACAATTATACATCAACAAATTAGGCAACTGGAAGAAATGAATAAATTCCTATAAACATATAACTACCAAAACTGAGTCTGAAAGAAAGAGAAAATCTGAACAAACCATAACTAGCAAAGAAATTGAACCAGTAATCAAAAATCTCCCCAAAAACAATTGTCCAGGACCAGATCGCTTCCCAGGGGAATTCTACCAAACATTTAAAGACTTAATACCTATTCTTCTGTTTCGAAACTGTTCCAAAAAATAGAACTGCAAGGAAAACTTCTAAACTGATTCTATGAGGGCAGCATTACCTTGATTCCAAAACCAGACAAAGACCCCACTAAAAAGGATAATCACAGACCAATATCTTTAATGAACATGGAAGCAAAAATTCTCAACACGATACTAGCTAATTGAATTCCAATAGCACATTAAAAGGATTATTCACTACAACCAGGTGGAATTTATTCCAGGGCTTCAAGGGTGGTTCAATAGCTGCAAATCGGTCAAGTTGATACATCACATTAATAAAAGAAAGAATAAGAACCAGATGATTCTCTCAATAGATGTAGAAAAAGCATTTGATAAAATACAGCATCATTTCTTGATAAAAATCCTCAAGAAAGTAAGGATAGAGGGAACATACCTTAAAATCATAAAGGCCATATATGAAAGATGCACAGCTAACATCATCCTCAATGGGGGATAATGGAGAACTTTTCCTATAAGGTCAGGAACACAACAAGGATGTCCACTCTCACCACTGTTGTTCAACATAGTAATGGAAGTCCTAGACCCAGCAATCACACAACAAAAAGAAATAAAAGGCATCCAAATCGACAAGGAAGAAGTCAAACTTTCACTTGTCGCAGACAACATGATACTTTATGTAGAAAACCCAAAACACTACACTAAAAAATTTCTAGACTAATACTGGAATTTGTCAACATTGTAGGATATAAAATCAACACAGAATTCTGTTGCATTTCTATATACCAATAATGAAGCATCAGAAAGAGAAATCAAGGAATGGATCTCATTTACAATTGCACCAAAAACCATAAGATATCTAGGAATAAACCTAACCAAAGAGGTAAATGATCTGTACTCTAAAACTATAGAACACTGATGAAACAAACTGAGGAAGGAACAAAGAAATGGAAAAACATTCCATGCTCACGGATTGGAGGAACAAATATTGTTAAAATGTCTATGCTACCCAAAGCAATCTACACATTCAGCAATTCATATCAAAATAAGACCAGCATTTTTCACAGACTAGAACAAACAATTCTAAAATTTGTAAAGGACCCCAAGAAAGACCCCAAACAGCCAAAGGAATCTTGAAAAAGAGAAGCAAGTCTGAAGGGATCACAATTCCGGACTTCATGATGTATTAGAAAGCTATAGTCATCAAGAGTGTGTGGTACTAGCACAAAAACTGACACATAGATTGATGGAACAGAACAGAGAACCCAGAAATGGACCCTCAACTCTATGGTCAACTCATCTTTAACAAAGCAGGAAAGAATGTCCAATGGAAAAAAGACAGTCTCTTCAACAAATGGTGGTGGGAAAATTGGTCAGCCACATGCAGAAGAATGAAACTGACCACTTTCTTAAACCATACACAAAAATAAATTCAAAATGGATGAAAGACCTAAATGTGAGACAGGAAACCATCAAAATCCTAGAAGAGAACACAGGGAGCAAGTTCTTTGACCTCAGCCACAGCAACAGCTTCAAAGGCCAGGGAAACAATAGCAACAATGAACTATTGGTATTTCATCAAGATAAAAAGCTTCTGCAGAGCAAAATAAATAATCAACAAAACTGAATGGGAGAAGATATTCGTAAACAAGTTATCAGATAAAGGGCTAGTTTCCAAAATCTATAAAGAACTCATCAAACCCAACACCGAAAAAATTAAAAATCCAGTCAAGAAATGGGCAGAAGACATGAACAGACATTTATCCAAAGAAGACATATAAATGACTAACAGACACATGAAAAAATGCTCAACATCACTTAGCATCATGGAGATACAAATCAAAACCACAATGAGATGACAAATTGCACTACAGATATTTATCCAAAGGATACAAAATAATGATTTAAAAGGGCCCATGCACCCCAATGATTATAGCAGCACTATCCACAATAGCCAAAATACAGAAAAAGCCCAAATGTCCATAGACTAATGAATGGATAAATTAGAAGTGACACACACACACACAATGGAATATTACACAGTTATCAAAAATAATGAAATCTTGCCATTTGCAATTACATGGATGGAGCTAGAGTGTATTATGTTGAATAAAATAAGTCAGTCAGATAAAGACTCATATGTGGAATTTAAGAAACAAAACAGATAAACATAGGTGAAGGGAAGGAAAAATAAAATAAGATTAAAAAAAAAAAGAGAGAGAGAGAGAGGCACCTGGGTGCTTAGACGTTTAAGTGTCTGAGTCTTGGTTTTGGCTCAGGTGGTGATCTCAGGATCATGAGATCAAGCTCTAAGACACTTTCTGTGCTCAGCATGGAGTCTGTTTGAGATTTCCTCTCTGTCTCCCTATGCCCGTCCCCTCACTCTCTAAATAAATAAATAAGTAAATAGATAAATAAATAAATAATTTATTATTATTTTTTTTTTTTAAAGAGAGGAAGGCAGGGGTGCCTGGGTGGATCAGTGGGTTAAAGCCTCTGCCTTAAGCTCAGGTCATGATCCCAGGGTCCTAGGATCAAGCCCCGCATCAGGCTCTCTGCTCGGTAGAGAGCCTGCTTCCCCTCCTTCTCTCTCTGCCTACCTCTCTGTGTGCTTGTGATCTCTGTCTGTCAAATAAATAAATAAAAATCTTAAAAAAAGAGAGAGAGAGAGAGGAAGGTAAACCAAAAAAGATTCTTAACTATAGGGAAAAAACTGAGGGTTGCTGGAGGAGAGGTGGTTTGAGAATGGGTAAATGGGAGACGGGCATTAAGGAGGGCATTTGTAATGAGCACTGGACATTGTATCAAGTGATGTATCACTAAATTATTCCTCTGAAACTAACTACACTATATGTTAACTAACTTTAATTTAAATAAAATCTTGAAATAAAAATAAAAATAAATTAAATTATAATACAATTCAAAGTAATCAAAAGAATATTGTTGAAATTCAGATAAAGACACCTTACCATTCATTTCCTTGTGAAGGGTTTTCTAGTAGCACTCGGATTATGTATAATAAGCAGCTTAATAATTTGAGAGAAAAATTGAATAGACGAATTCTTAGACCTTTAAACAAACAACAAAAATTTAATTTTTATTTGAACTTAGTCCATGAAGGACCAAAAAAACAATGTCAAAAATAACAACTTTAAGTACAGAACTTAAATTGTATTCAGAAACTACAATATCATAATTGTCTAAACTCTTAAAATTTTAGGTAGCTGAATTTTAATTAATTAAATATTGAAACAAAAATTGACATTGACATATTGTATGCACTGAAAATGGCACTGAATTTTATACCCAAGAATAAATCTAAGTTTGAGCATTCAAAAGTCACAAAAATCATTTCCAATCAAGATTGGCCAAATACGCTTAGAAGTGTAAGCAATTTTTATTTCCATGAATTTTGGAATAAATTTTACCTAGCTAGAAAATCTAGCCGCTTAAAAATTCATCAGATAATTTATAAATCTTTTACTTTCAGAACACCTTGTGGAGTTGATTACAGAGAAATTATAATCATGTATATAATTATATATATATGCATATATACATACGTATATACACACACACACTCAATTAGTAATTATATAATTGAAGAAGAGTCCTAATAGCATTTGCTGGAAAATACATGCATATATACACACTTTTTAGTTCGACCAGTTGAAACTTACTTTTGACTTTAGGTTGAATATCAATGAAATCTTAAATATTTAGGGGGTATTAAGACTGCTATGTATGTATCTATAAAACTGTATAGGTCACAGTTATGCAGCCTATAGTACTTGATGGTGAAGAAGAGCAATTAACATTAGGCAAAATATGCCTAAAGTCTGATTAATAGAAGCATTACCTTTCCTGTAAATTATCAGGTGGTATCTGATTCATGCATTATGAATAAAATTTTGAGAAAGGTCTTCTTATAATTATTACTTAATAAAATCTGGAAATGAAATGTCATCCTTTTACTCTGCTATATATTAATGTATTTGAGGTAACATTTCTTAACAGCAAAATGCTAATGCTTATTAATTGTGTAATTTTTCCTAGGTTTCCCTATTAAAATGCTAGGTACATTTTATGGGTTAGCTTCTTTATAAAATCTTTTAAACTGTTAATGAAATTGCCCTGGTTTTATAGAACTGGCCTCTTCAAATGACTATTTAATCAAAATTGGCTGCTGTTGAAGTATTCAAATAATGCATCTATCTTTTCTGGCCTGGAAAGATAGCATTGTCAGTATTAAAAATCAAGGACACTTATTCAGATGATGTGGCCGCTTTAGGTAATACTTATTGGTGGGACTTCCTTGGAAATTCTAAACAACCAGGTTGGAAAGGCATAAGATATTATTAGTCTTAACTCTGCAGCTAATATGCCATTAAGAATCTCTAACCAGTGTGCCTTACATACTGAAACAGTCCCTATACTCCATTTGGATAAATTCCCACAATTCAGGCTTTCTCTTTGAACCCTATAGAGACACAACTCAACCTAGACCACCCCAAGAAGATTCCAGGATCAAAATTCAAAAAGAACAAAGTCTACAACAAGCTAATATCGACCTCTCCTTTTTTTTCCTTGACATTTTAAACAAAAATCATATGAAAAACTGCATATTGACTCATTATATATGGCTTCTAAAAAATGTGTGGTATTACAGGGAAGCGACAAGTATCACTGACACATCAGCCTTGAATGGTCTTAGGTCAGTGACTATGCTAATTTCATGTCTTCTTGAAGTTGAAATGTTTCCCAAATTTATCTGGTGAGAAAAATCAGTGGTGTGAAACTGTGGGCTGAGGCTATATTTCCTGATTCAAAATCTCCAAAGAAGGTTACTAATAATCTGTTCATTTCAGAAAGCCCTAGATATTTCTTCTTATCATGCATGATTGGGAAACATTAAACTCTTCCTCAATAAATCAGTTATTCCTGTTTGTAAGAGCCTAATCAGTATCCCTTAAAATAAGGGTACCCTGATTTAAGTTCTTTTCCTCAATGTCTCGACTAATCCAGATGGTTCTCTCACAAGTCTGCTTATTGATGTGGGATTTGGAGAATTACAGGTATTCAAAAATCCTGCCAACACCACATGTAACATCTATGCTTTCTAAACTTTTACAGCCCAGTAGACAAGATTATCAATACTCATTCTAGATAAAAGATATTTTGCAAAAGGATTGCACAGCTGAATTTTTTTAGGCAATTTTTTAGGCACATATGTACAAACATATAGACAGGAGAATAAAATAAATGACTTACTTGATCTCTGGTTTTTGATAAAAAATAACTTTAGCCTCTCTTTAAATGTGTTTTCATTCATATAGAATTCAACTTGTACCCTGCAAGCAAAAGATGAAAGTATAATTAATCTAAAGATAAATACATTAAAAAATAATTTTACTTAATGCATTAAATACTTTGCATGAATCCCCACTACAGAAAATGAAAATTGAGTAAAAATGCTGACTTTTTGGAGAGAAAGAGTTACTTTCTAATTCTAAACATAGAATAAGTTCAAATACCATATATAATTAATTCTATTATCTGTATTAGCAGATGTAATGCGTGGTATAGATAATTCAAAACAGCAATAATATGTGTCTTTGGAATAATTTTGAAACAGTGTTTTCCCAAGTTTTTTCTCTGTCATTGGAATCATTTGGGTGTCTAAAGGATCCAGTTTGAACACTATCACCTGATGCACTGCATCAGAATCTTAAGGGACTGGGCCTGAAACTCTATTTTTAAAAAGCCTTTCCCTCCATTGTGACCCTATTTGGGACACCACATTATGGGACACTTTACCTCTTTATTTATTTACTTAGGCTCATAATAAAATATACATGATCAACAAAGGAATAGTAATGAATGACAAGTAGAATGTTAAAGTCAACATAGATAGGTTATAAACCAGACAAAACAATTAAAAAACTGATTTTATATATTTAATCTTCAATACAATAATACCAACAGTGTAAAAAACAGTAGCATGCTAATAAATACATTTGTTTTCTCCCTAAATTCCAGCAAACTTCTCTCACATGCTGACTAATTAATATTTTCAAAATACTAATTGAAAAGAAATATTATGTTCATGATGATTTATTAATAATTATCATTTGAAATTATATTTTTATTTAACATTTTCTTAATTAAATGGTCTTAAGTACACTTAAGTTATGATTCCAAAATAGCTAAGAAAGCACTTTAATATTTACACAACAGACTCAATTTCATTTTTCCTAACATCACGAAATTTTGATAATGTGATCTGTATAAACTAGAAACTTTATTTTGTAACTGGTATTTTGTAACTCTTAATCCCCTTCACCTATTTTGCACTTCCCAACTCCTATCCCCTCTGGCAACCACCATTTTATTATCCATATCTCTGAGTTTTGTTCTTATTTTGTTTGTTCATTTATTTTGTTTTTTTTTTAGATTAGTGAATATAAGTGGAATTCTAGTTTTAAAATAAGTCTGTATAGCAAGATAAATATAATCAATAATATTGTATTGCAAATTTGAAAGTTGATAGGAAAGTAAACCTTAGAAGTTATCTTTACAAGAAAAGAAATTCTAGTGTAGTCTAGTAAGTCTGTATGGTGATAAATGGAAACTAGATTGATTTTGGTGATCATTTCACAATGTATACAAATGTCAAATCATTATGCTTACACCTGAAACTAATATAATGTTGTACGTCAATAATACTTCAATTAAAAATTGCAATATCCTCCAGCAAAACACTTACATATGCAAGTACATAAACTTATACACTTATACGCACTACAAAAGTTCATGCACACTCATACATGTATCTGAGGAATATCCAGGAGTATCTTTGGAATCCATCATTGAATCTGTTTCCCTTATTTTTTGGACTGAAAAGGCAGTTCATTTTAAATAAAGTAACTAAAACATTGATGTCAAGCTAAAATTATTTCAAATCTGCTATGGCTACAACAGTAAATTTGAAAGGATATATGGTTATTATGCAAATAATTCAGCAAAGGGCCATGCAAGTTTGCTCCAGAGTTACCAAATTTATAAGACTATGAGTCCATTCTTCTGATAATATCTGAAGTTCAGTATTGGGTGTGTAAAAGAGATGTAACTAAAATTAGGTCATTTAAAGCCTTATGCAAAATAATGAAGAATCTGGAAAGCATCTCATATGAGGACAAATTTAAAGAACTGGAAATGTTTAGCCTAAATATGAAGAGTTAGCAGTAACAGAATAGCTGTCTTAAATATTGAAGTGAACATCATTATTAAAATGAATTAATCATAATATGATGCTCTATTGTATAGGATTAATCATAGAGAAATAGGAGAATTAGGAATGAGATTACCCAATTTGTAAATGACCATCATTGTGAAGTGAAGTGACCATCATTGTGAATAACAGTTTGAAATACTGTGACTGATTTTTATTTCATTTTTTTCCTGAGGTAAAGCCAATTTTGCATGAGATAAATTCTCTTATTAAATACTTCCAGATTCCCTCCTCATTATAATATTATGTGAAGTAAAACTATTAATTAATGTAGTGATATCTGAGTCAATACAATCACCAAGGAGCATAAGACATTAAAGCATAAGTTTATACAAACGTTTTTTTAACACTAAGGCTAACATACAAACAAAGCAAAACACTTTTTGATCCATGTCTTTTCTTGGGTACAGAAAAATGGTTAAGTTAACTACTCATAATATTGAGCAGAGTTTTCTTTTATTTTTGTAATAACAACCTTTCCCAGAATCAAAGCCAGTTAGTGTTAGTATATTCTTGGAGGACCTTCTTAGCACCATACAGTTCTCTAAAATTCAGGGACTTAGTACAGAGTTTAGTGTTTATCCTTCCTAATTTTTTTCATGATTCTATCCTAAATATCCACTTCATATTTCCTTTTCCAGATTTAAATGTGCTTTCCCTTTTTTCCTTCTCTCCTTTCCTTTCCTTCCCCTTCCTTCCTTCGATCCTCTCTTCCCTCCTTCCTTCCAAACTCTCTCTTCCCAACTAGCTTTATCTGAATTTATCTCCATTCAAATAGGTCAACTTAATGCACTCTCTAGATCTTCCCCAGAACCCCACAGTTTTAGTCACATTTACCTCAATGTAATAGTGGAATTATAATTGTATTTTTAAAAAATGGAATTACAATTAGTACATGGTATCTTGTCCTATTGATATGTTCTCATTGTTTAAAAAATATTAGCTTTATATTGGTCAACGACATTTTATTTGATTTGCATAGACCCTACATATTCTTTGTGACATTTATTTTTGGGTATTTTACAATTTTGGTTGCAATTTTTGAACTGTTTTGTTCTAACTTTCAACTTTCGGTTTTAGTATTATAAATGGCTACCATATTGAATTCCTTCATATGCAATACATTTTTTTCAGATTTATTGCTAGCGTTTTCTGGACAATCGTGTCATCTAAAAATCAATATTTTTATTTACATTTGTTATTTTGTTGACTAGCACTTATTGAAGAAAAAATATCAACTGTGGTATGTATTCTTAGAAGGCCTCTTATGCTTTAGCAATAATTATGTTGTTGACCCTGGATTTACAATAAACATGTATATCTTACTAAAAGATATATTGACATATCTTTTATAAAGATATAAAAAAGAAATAAAAAGATACAAGAAGACATTGAAAAAGATAAAAAGGATACAAAAGATAAATTGATTGCTATCAAAAGCCTTTCTTGATTCTGTCAAATTGATGGTACCTTTTGGGGATGTTTTTGACAGTGATTTGGTGAACTGTTCTAATAGTTTTTCTATCTTGCAATTATTTTTTTCAATTCTTGACTAGTTTTGGTAGTCATGAATTATTCAGGTAATTTACTTGTGGATTCATTTTCTTATATTTTTAGAAGTTTTTCCTCCTTAGTCATAACTAACTAGTACATTGATCTGCTATCATCTTTAGATTATTCTGATATCTTCAAATATGAACTGAAAAAATACACAAATTGAAAACCTCTCCAGATTTTTCTATAAATTATAACAATTTGATTACTACAAAGATACTCTGTGTAACCATTGTCAATTTGCCTTAATATTAACTTCAATTTGTTACTTTTTTTTCCTTTTCTTTTCCTTCTGTTGCTCTGTTTATTTAAATTCATGCAAGATCTTGTTAAAAGCCAACTTCCTTGTCTCTTAAAATTCTTTATTAATTCTAAGGCCTCACCATTTTAACCACACAAAAAATAATTCTGAACCAGACTGTCCACACATTGTTCCTTCAGAAAAACTATTTCACTTTTTTCAAGTGCTAATAATACCCTGGGCTCTGTAGGATATCAAGCCTTTGTATATATTCTCTTTGGGACTTGTAATATGTACAAGGAAGAGTATTCCTCTATTTTTATTTGGCGCTCTCCCTTCCTACCTCCCTCTGAGACTGTCCTATTGGTCACGGAGTCCATGCTTGAGTGTTTATGATTATACTCAACTCTAACAAGGCAATACCTGCCTGGATGTTCTGGTCTCAGCAGATAGGTTCAGTGGACAAATGTTAGTCTCTCTGTGTATTGTTGGTGAGTGTTTTTCTTTGGAAAATCTACATCTGGATGTCAAGTTAATGTACACAGCACCACTGCAATTCCCGTGTCTAAGAACGCTTCCCTTGGTATCATTTTTGTGCTTTTAAATTTGTGCATCTTTCTAACTCTATGTTGGGTGCTCTGACTCCAAAGAATAAGGAAAAAAAAGGAAAGTCTCTCTGCATTATTACCATCAGGTTTCTCTCACTCTATTCCCACCACTACTAAAACTTAAAATGGGGCTGATATTTATGAGAATTACACCTTTCCAAATATACATTACTGTAAGTGTACCCTTATTTTTTCTAAAGTCATTGCTATGCACCAAATTATGTCCCCTAAAAAGATATATTCAAGTCCTAACTCCAGTATCTCATGTGACCTTATTTGGCAATGAATCATTGCAGACATAGTTAAATTAAGATTAGGTCATACTGGAGTAGGATGGGTCTGTAACCCAGTACCACTCGTCTCTTTATTAGAGGAAAATCTGGACACTGACAAAGAAGAAAGATGGCCATATGAAGACAGAGACAAAAACTAGAGTTTTATGGCCACAGTCCTAGGAACACTAGGGCTACCAGAGGCTGAAAAGGCGAGTGAGGATTCTCCTCTAGAGACTTAGGAGAGAGGATAGCACTACCAACAACTTGATTTCAAATTTCTATAATTAATCCAGAGCTTGGAATTAATAAACCTCTGTTGTTTTTAGGCACCTAGTTTCTGGTTCTTTGTTATGGCAATCCTTCAAAACTAATACACTAATAT